GTGGTGTATTTGTTATAATCAATAAACCTACATTGACATACCCTAATCATTCAAAGTCCATAGTTTATATTACCGTTCACTCGTAGTGTTGCACATTCTATGGGTTTGTACAAATGTGTAAGTAATGACATGTATCAATCACTATAATATTGTACAGAATATTTTCACTGTCCTAAAAATCCTGTGTGTTCTACCTGTTCATCTCTTCTCCCTCCCCAAGTATGCCTCAACCTTTGACAACCTTAAAGGTTGTCAAAGGATCTTTTCATTGTCTCTGTAGTTTGCCTTCTCCGGAATGTCATATAGTTGGAATCACAGTATGTAGCCTTTTCAGACTGTCTTCTTTCACTTAGAATTATGCATTTAAGGTTCTTTCATTTTCTTTCATGTCTTGATGCCTCTTTTTTTCCTGAGTAATGTTCCATTTTCTGTATGTTCCACAATTTATTTACCCATTCACCTACTGAAGGATATCTTTGTTGCTTCCAAGTTTGAGCAATTATGAATAAAGTTGCTATAAACATTGTATACAGGTTTTTATGGGAACTTAAGTTTTCAGCTTCTTTGGATAAATACCAAGGAGTTTGGTTGCTGGATAATATGGTAAGAGTCTGTTTAGTTTTGTAAGAAACTACCAAACTGTCTTCTAAAGTGGCTATATCATTTTACATTCCCATCCCACTAGCAATGAATGAGAGTTCCTGTTGCCTCACATCCTTGCCAGCATTTGATGTTGTTAGTGTTTTGAATTTTGGACATTCTAATAGATGCATAGTACTATCTCATTGTTGTTTTAATTTGCATTTCCCTTATGACTTATGATGTTTAACATCTTTTCATGTGCTTATGCGCTATCTGTATATTTGGGTAAGGTTTCCATTAAGGTGTTTGGTCCATTTGTAAATGGGGTGTTTTCTTTTTTAAAAATTTTTTATTGATTTTTAGAGACAGAGGAAGGGTGTGTGAGAGAGACACATCGATGTGGAAGTGAAACATCAATTGGCTGCTCCCTGCATGCTCCCTACTGGGGATCAAGCCTACAACCTGGGCATGTGCCCTGACCAGGAATCCAACTGGCAACCTTTTGGTGCACGGGAGGATGCCCAACCACTGGGCCACACTGACCAGGATGGGTTATTTGTTTTCCTGATGAGTTTTATGAGTTCTTTATATTTAGATAACAGTCCTTCATCAGATATGCCTTTTGCAAATATTTTTTCTCAGTCTGTGGCTGTTCTCATCCTTTCTGTAGCATCCTACTCTATTAAAAACACAATTATGTAACTTCATTTATCTTTTCTTATTTTTCTCTCCCATACTTAGGACCCAACTTTGCCAAGTCCCAAGCCAGCCAAAATTCAGACAAAACCCCCCAAGGCAAGAGGTAAGCAAGCCAGCTGGAATGGGACATGTGTTACAGGTAAGGCAGGGAGAAAGCAGAGAGTGTAACGGGCCTGCAGGTAGCTGGAACTTACATCTCAGATCTAGAACCTGAGAAAACATGGCAGAACTCATGCTAGTGTCATTGGAGAATCTGTAGCATCCTCATTTCTGAATATTGAATTATAAAATCTTAGAAATGAATGTTTTAAATTCTTAGCAAGAAGGATAACTTTCTAGAGAAGAACCATGAGGAGAACCATGAGGAGAAGATGATGGGGGTGGGGGAGAGGGGAGAAATATTGGGGAGGGGAGAGGAACTGAAGGAATTTACTAGATTAAGATTAGCAGAAGATGCAGGGCAGAGACTTAAATGTGGGGAATCAATGGACCCTTGACAAGTTGTTATTTAGGGAGAAATAAATGTTCTTCATGGTGGGGGTGTGGGGTGATGCAGGCATAGCAGATGGACGAAATGGGACTCAGCAAGGGAAGTCAGTGAAGAGATCTCTTGGAAATGAACCTGCAGCTGCTCCTGTACCCAAAAAATTGCATGGGAATTCAGATCCTGACCAGCCAGGTAAGGCTCTCCAGTGATTCTCAACCTTCCTAATGCTGCGACCCTTTAATATAGTTCCTCATGTTGTGGTGACCCCAACCATTATTTTCGTTGCTACTTCATAACTGTAATTTTGCTACTGTTATGAATCGTAATGTAAATATCTGATATGCAGGATGTATTTTCATTGTTTGTGACCCACAGGTTGAAAACCGCTGCTAGACTTTGGAAAAAGTTTGGGGAAATAGGGTTCATGTCTATATCTCCTCTCCCTGGATATTTTAAAACAATTCTACACTTTTTAATTACTTTAAAAAGAACAAAAACTGGCCAAAATGGCATCTCTCAGATTGTAGAATGCAGTACACACTATCTTATCTAATAAAAGAGACACATGCAAATTGACTATGTCTCTGCTACACTCACAAGCCACGCCCACAAGCCAATCAGGAGTGAGTATGCAAATAAACCCAACCAAGATGGCGGTGGCCACAGAGCTGGAGTGAACAGGCTTGGGTTGCCTCTGGCGATGGAGGAAGCCAAGCTTCCCACCTGCCCTGGCCAGCTGTGGGCTCCGCTCAAGGCTACAAAGTTTCAATTATGGAAGATAAATAAATCCCAGATACCTGCTTCCAGCCCCTGTGGCCTGTGCTCAAGGAGGGTCTGGGAGCCTGGGTTGCCCAGGGCCATGGCCAGCCTGCAAACAGCCCTCAGCCCCTCACCCAGGCTGTCCACGCCCCCCAGCGGGGACATTCCCCCTCCTGAAGGGGCTGTGGGCAGCCTGAAAATGGCCCTCAGCCACTCACCCAGGCTGGCCACGCCCCCCAACAGGGACCCCCACCCTGATGGGGCTGTGGCCAGCTTGAAAACAGCCTTCAGCCCCTCACCCAGGCTGGCCACGCCCCCCCAGCGGGGACCCTCACCCCATGGAGATGTGGCCGGCCTGAAAACCACCACAGGCCCCTTGCCCAGGCTGCCCCATGCCTTAAGGGAACCCCAACCCTGATCCAGGACACCCTTCAGGGCAAACCAGCTGGCCCCCACCCGTGCACCAGGTCTCTATGTATACTAATAAAAGGGTAATATGCTAATTAGACTAGGAGACCTTCCAGGAGATCTTCTGGACGTTCTTCTGGACAAAGCCATGGTGGCGGGGCCAAGGTAGAGGCAGTTAGAGGCCAAGAGGGGAGGGCAGTTGTGGGTGATCAGGCTGGTGGGGGGCGGGGCCATTGGGGGTAAGCATACCAGCAGGGGGGGCAGTTGGGGGCAAGCAGGTCATCAGTGGGGGTCAGTTGGAGGTGATCAGGACAGCGGGGGGGGGCAGTTTGGAGTGAGCAGCCCAGCAGGGGGGCAGTTGGGGGCAAGCAGGCCAGTGGGGAGGGGAAGTGAGGGCAAGTAGGCCAGCAGGGGGGGCAATGGGGGTAATCAGGCTGGCGGGGGGCATTTGGGGGCAAGCAGGCCAGCGGCGGGGGGCAGTTGGGGCCGAGCAGGCTGGCAGGCACAGTGGTTAGGGGCAATCAGACAGGCAGGCAGGCAGGTGAGTGGTTAGGAGCCAGCAGTCCCGGATTGCGAGAGGGATGTCCAACTGCCGGTTTAGGCCTGATCCCTGTAAACCGGCAGTAGGACATCCTTCGAGGGGTCCCAGATTGGAGAGGGTGCAGGCCGGGCTGAGGAACACCCCCTCCCCTGTGCACGAATTTCATGCACCGGGCCACTAGTCTATAATAATAAAAGCATAATATGCTAATTAGACTGGACATCCTTCCAGACAACCTTCTGGAGGAAGCCGGGGCTGTGAGAGAAGCCCGGGTCCTGGGTGCTGGAGGGAAGCCTGGGTCCCAGGTGCCAGAGGGAAGCCAGTGCTGGTAGCTGGGGGAAGAAAGGCCTACTCTTGCACAAATTCCGTGCATCGGGCCTCTAGTAGAAACATAATGGTTGTGGATTTGATTTCATCCAGAGACCCCAAAATGGTAAGGAGGAAGGAACTAACATTTATTGAGTATTGTCATGCAATGGCTAGATAGATATGTCTATGTTGCTCCCTTACGTTTTTTCAATATCTCTATGGCTGGATATTTACCATTTCAATTATAAGGAGACTGAGGCTCAAAGAGTTTAAAATTTGCTTGTCTCATGTCTCTGTCATACGGTTAATCCATGGCTTGAATCCAGGTCTTTCTGACTCCAAAGCCTATTCTTCCTATTGAGAAAGGTAATCTTTTCCAGAGGTTTTTTTTTTTTAATATAAATTTTGGAGTTTGATTTGTAAAAGGTAAGGACAGATGACTTAATAAGATTCTCAGTTCTTTCACTTTTTCATTTAGGTCCTGAGAAAAAATTTAAAGCTCCCCAAAGCAAGGCTTTGGTAACCAGCTTGTCTGAAGAAAAAGAGATTCTAATGGTGTCAGAGGGCCTGATCCTACCAGCTCATCACAGGGCCTGTCCTGCCACGGGGAAAGAAGAGCCTGGACCTCAAGAGTTGCAGGAGGCTGGAAGCTTCCCTCCTGACGATGAAGCCTCCAGTGACCTGGACCTTGAGCAACTCATGGAAGATGTTGGAGAAAAGCCAGAGCAGAGGGTGGAGCTGCAGCATAGAGATGACACGGAGGAGTTCACCTTCTTTGAGGAGTAGTTCTGTGCTCTTGTGTTCTCTTCCCTCTTCCCTGAGAGTAGGAGGGAGATCCTCTCAAAGGGCCCCAGAGAATTATTGGGATTGGCCATTGACTACAAGATTAATTCGCTAAAGTCAGGGTTGTATGGTTTATGTGTTAATAAAATAGGTTACTGGCTTAATTGGTTTGGTTTGTCTCTAACTACATTCTTCCTTTTGGCTTCTCTCCCTCCTCCATGTCACTAACATCATTGTTTCTGGTGGGAGGCCTGCATAGCATAGGAATCTGGGAAGGCAATGATACTTGAGTTCTGGGAGAAGGACATAGAAAAGGACAAGTCTGGGTTCAAATCCGGGCTCACCATTTACTAACTGCGTGGCCTGAGGAAAAGCATTGTAGCCGTTCTGGTTCTTTGTTTCACGTCTCAAATGAGTACATCCAATACCATATAAGGTTGTTAATGTTTAAATGAGATAATGCATAGCACAATACATGCCAGTTATTATTATAAGGGAAGTAAGAGTGGTTAGACTGGGAGGCAGACCTTGGGTTCCAGGCTGCCTACCAGTGTTTGGTAACTTATTGTTTCCAGGCCTGAGGCAGTGAGCTATCTATTATAGTTCATTTTTGGTGAGAAGGAGAGAAGTTGAAGGTGACATCATTTTTTTCTTAGATGCATGCAGGCAAATCCTACAGGTACTTTTATTTTTGTGGGCAAGGGAACGAGACGAAGAGGGAACTGGAGCAGATGGCTATTTTTCTTTGGTCCTTGGTGGCCTTTGACCCCTGCTGGCTTCTGAGTCATCGGTGTCCGGCTGGGATTGTTATGGGAAGTGGTGATCCTTCTGTGCAGCTTACTCTAAGGAGGTCATCACTCAGTCACACTCCTTAGGTCTTTAACATAGAGTATAGGGTCTCTTCCTGGGGGCTCTCGTGGAGAAGGTGGCTAGGAGGTGCTGTCGGTGAGGGTGAGGTTGAGTTGGAGAGGGTAAGGGAGGCATAGAGGATGCTGTCAACCTGCGTGAGAACAGAAAGAGAAGGGGGTTAGAAGTGGAGGGGGAGCTGACCTCATCTTACATCAGTGATCTCATACCTGAGTGCCCTGCTGATACCACAGTCCCTCTATTCTTTCCACCCCTACTTCTCCAAGCTTCTCTTTAATTCTTTCAGGCTCTAGTCTGAGCTACTTACTTTTGGGTCCGGCTTGGAGTCTCTATGTAGTCCTAGAAAAAAAAATGTGCCAGGATCAGAGGCATGGCAGCCAAGGTAGAGAAACGGGCAGAGGGCTCAGTAGTGCGGTCATCTGCTAGGTCAGGACCAGGGTCCATGGGAGGGATGGGTGAGGTATGGGAAAGAGGAAAACGCTGAGGGGCACATGTGTGGGGAGAGAGTGTGTAAGGAAGAAGGAAGGGCCAAGGTGGAGAGTGGGGAGTGATGGTGGTAGAACTGACCTTTATGCCCAATGTTCTCGTGCTTCTCCTCAGTGTTATGGAAGGATCCCCTGCGTGGGAAGGAAAGAGTGGGAATTGTGTCAGAGGCTGGGCAGAAAGGAGTCAAAACCTGCATCAGGCTGGTTCTCTTCGGGGCTCTACGACCTGCTTGGACCTACTCAGAAGATGTAGGCAATGGTTTGAGGCTCTCAGAAGGAGGCTGCCTGGAAGAGCTTTGAGAGGCAGTGTGTGGTGTAGCCCAGGAGAGGCCCCTGAGTGCACCTGAAGGAGGGCTGTTCTAGGGAACCGCTGTTGTAGGAAGGGGCACAGGAGGAGAAACCAGAGGGGTGAATTCCTGTCCTCACTGCCTCGGTTAAAACTGAGAAGGAAAACCAGCGACGCTCATCTCACAGCCTCTGGGTGGGTGCTCAGGCCTCGGTCCCCAGGAGGAGACGCCATCCTGGGGTGGGTGAGTAAGGCAGCTGGCAAAAGTCAGGGAGGGAGAGGGTGGGAGGGGGTTTAGGGAAGGGAAAGTGTAGAAATGGGAAGAAGGATGGAGAAAAGGAAACTGGTGGGAGGGTGAGGAGGACCAGGGCTCAGGGCAGGAAGGAGATCCCAGCACAGAGGAGAGGAGGCCAGGCTGGGAGCTGACGGGGGAAGGTGCTCTGAGAAAAGGCAGACGGCAGAGGTGATGGAGGCAGATGATTCTTGTGGTTCCTTTGAGCACCTCACCAGGGAAAAAGGCAGATTGGACAATGAGCAAGAAAAAGGAAAAAATGGGGAACAGGAAGATGTGGGAAGGATGATGTTCAAGGTGGAAAGAAAACAGGATGAACAGAAGGAAAAGCTGAGAAATGGCCATGAAAGGAGGAGAAGGGGGTTACCAAAGAAAGAGAAAAGGGAAACATTCTGGGAAAGAATTACAGAAACTGCTGGAACCCCTAGGTCCACCGTTCTTGATTTTTTAAAAACTTTTTGGCTTGTTTGCTTTTTAGTAGCCAGAGTCTCAGGAAATGTAGAGCCTAACCTGTTGGGGACATATGAGGATGTGGATGTTAATGTGAAAGCAGAGGATGAGAGTAGCTGTGAAAGACTCCCTCACACTGTTCTCAAGGACACTTCCTGTTTCCCAAACCAGCACCCCCATTGGAGGGCAAGCACTCACCTGTCTGGGGCTCTTGCTTTCTTTCCACCTTGAACATCATCCTTCCCACATTTAGTCTGCAGACCTGTAGAGGAACCAACAACATGTCAGTGTGCCTTCCAGGAACAGCATCTCTCCTGCCTTTCTGCCTCATCCTACTCTGAGAGCATCCTTGGATAAACCAGGGCAGCAAAGCAGCTCTGCTGAAACCCCTGTTGGAAGGGCCTAGGACTCAGAGTGGCACCAGCTGGCATCCTGAGGCTGCCCACACCTCTCCTGCTTTTGTCCTCAATACCAAGTCAGGAGAGCAGCTCTTCTCTGCACCCTGTGCCCCCTTCACCCTGCCCTCTCTCCCTAACCTTCCCGCTGCTTCCTTCTTCTTTCCTTCAACTCCTTGCAATCCCTCAACCTTCTCCTTCCACTGCTGAGCCTGGCCCACCTTCCCTCCCCTCCCCTTCCCCCCCTCAGGCACCATCGCTCCTCCTGCTGTGACAAACCAGCTTCTTCTGCTTTCCTTTGAGTGGTGGCTGTTTCTCTCTCCTACCTCTGAACCTCAGGGCTGGGATCGGTGTTTACACTGCAGCCTGTTCCTCTCTTCCACCGAGGACTCTGTTGTTCCTCCCCACCTCCCTGCACTCTCCCCCTCCACCTCCTTCTCAAGTCTCTCCATAGCAATTCCCAAGCATTTGACCCCGGTTCACACACATCCTCTCCACCACTGCCCACCTTCCTGTGAGGTCTCATCATCCACAGGGACAATCCTCTCAGGCACTGGACTCACCCATCCCCCAACTCCAGTGACCTCCACTCCACTCTGCCATACCCTGGACATTATTTTTTTTAATCACTGGGAATGAAAACTCTGAAATATTAAATGCTAGTATTATTTTTATGCTGTAGCTCTTTTTCCTCCCAGCTCTCTTTTGTCATCATCCCCTCCCCGTACACCTGTGCTTTGACCTCCCTTAACTCTTGTCCCCTGATAATCCACTTTCTTTCAGGTTATCCAGGCTGACTCAGAGTCCTCCACTCTCCATTTGTGCCCTTTCACCAGCTTCTTAACCTCCTGAGTTCCCCTGTCCTGCCACACTGAGCTGACAAATCGCCAATCCTTCATGTGTCTATTGCACGGAATGCTGCTTGCTTACCCAATATCCACTCACCACCTCTTACTCAGTTACAGAAAATTGATTTTATTTGGAGTGGCAGTGTGCTCCCCTATGGATAGACATGGGACATATTATATTCTGGCCAATAAGTTATAAGGGAAAATATGGGTAGGACTTCCAAGAAGGCTTCTGGACTATATCACATTTTTTCTTCATCTCTGACCCTTATCCTTACTGTCAGGAGAACAGATAACTGGGGTATAGTCTTTTGTAGTTTCCGTCTTCCTTCTGTTTCCCATTTAGATTCAGAAATAATGGCTGGAATCTTTGCAGCCACCTTGGACCATGAGGCAGCCCTCAGGGTAGAATCCTGTATCCAGGGCAGTTAGCAGAAAGGTAGGAACCTGAGTGCCTAAGGACTAATTTCCTGTGCTGTCTGCTTCCAGTTTCTTCATTCATTCATTCATTCATTCATTCATTCATTCATTTATTTAATATGTTTTTATTTATTTCATAGAGAGAGGGACAGGGAGAGATAGAAACATTAGTGATGAGAGAGAGTCATTGATTGGCTGCCTTCTGCACGCACCCCACTGGGGACCGAGCCCACAATCTGGGCATGTGCCCTGACTGGGGATGTGCCAATGACCTCCTGGCTCATAGGTCAAAGCTCAACCACTGAGCCACGCCAGCTGGGATTTTTTTATATGAGAAAGAAAAAAATCTCTCGTATCTAAACCACGGCTACTTGTGGCCTCTGGAGCTAGCAGGTGAACACAACTCCTAACCAATGAGTCTTAAAGGTTTCTAAGCTGCATGGCTGAATACTGGTGGGGAAAAACACAAGCATGTGCAATGATGCTTTCACAGATTTATGGCTTCATGCCTAATCAAATCCTTAAATACTATCTTCCATTTCCTCAGTGACTATATTACATTTTCTCTTCATCTCTGACCTTCATCCTCACTCTCAGGAGTAGCCACTGTGGTATTTTCCTTGCTGAATGAAAAAAAATTCCCTATTTTTATGCAGCTGAATTTATCAATATTTTTGTTTATTACTTTTTGACTTTGTATCATACTTAGGGAGGTCATCTCCACGCCATGCTTCCAGCACTATGTATTGAATTACTCAGTTTTCCCCATTGATTACCTTTTAATTTACTAAATTCTCGCATATATTTGAGTCTATTTTTATCCTGCCTATATTTTGAGTTTTTCATTTTCTTCCATTACTTTATCTTTTATCTGTTTGTTTATTATGTGCTAGTATTGCAGCTACTCTAAATGCATTATGCTTAATTGTCATGACAATCCTGGGGTAATTACTAATATTATCCCCATTTTACTGATGAGTAAGTTGAAGTACAGAGTAATAGTACCACTGTGACAGAGTTGACCCAGCCAGGATTGATTGCAGGCAGTCAGATTTTATGCTCTTTAGCTTTGTGCTTTAATATCTAAGAGGGCAGCCTGGCCAGTGTGGGTCAGTGGTCGACCTATGAACCAGGAGGCCATGGTTCAATTCCTGGTAAGGGTTGTGAGCTCCATCCCCAGCGTGGGGTGTGCAGGAGGCAGCCAATCAATGATTCTTTCATCATTGATGCTTCTCTCTCCCTCTCCATTCCTCTCTGAAATAAATAAAAATATAATAGAATAAGAGGGGAAATCTTGTTGCAAATTTTTAAAATGTAATTTAAAATCAATTTTGGATGCTGTTGGGGCATAAATAATTAATGCCTCTAACCCTGCCCTCTCTTTGAGCTATAAATGCAAACATCCAAATTTCTGATGGACATCTCTACTCACCTGCCCATACAGGTATCTCAAAAATAACATATCCCAAATTACAGGAATCATTTTTTCTCCCCCAAATCAGGCTTTTGACTTGCTATGGTCCCTAATTCACTTGGTGGTTTCATTACAGCCTCACTCACCCAAGTTGCAAACATGGAACTTCTTCCTGCTCCCTTGCTGCTACATCAATCTAATCATCAAGTCTTACTGGCTCCCTCTTAACCTTTTCCAGAATCTGACTGTCTCCACAGACCTATGTATCTGCAAGGTGAAGTGTGTAGTTGCCTCTTGGCTGCTTCATGTTGCTTCTGGAATCTTGGATGTGATTTATGAGGTCTTCTTTTCCATATCACTGAGCTGTACACTTAAATATGGTTAAAATGGAAAATTTTATAGTGTGTGTCTTTTGCCACAATAAATTTTTTGGTGCCTCTTCCATAGCACTGAGCTACTTTCAGTTCCCAGAATGGTTTCCTGTGCTTGGAAGAACAGTGATCTCTATACCACCCTCACCGCTTCCCTGGCTAATTCTTTTTTATTCTTTGAGACTTTTTGCAGATGTTGCTTCTGGAAAGTCCTCCCTGGTTCCTCTCCTTCCTCCCAACCTACCATAGTTCTTTCCAAGTGATGCAATTAGCCCTTGAAGTACCTCCTGCTCTCTCTGAGTTCCTTGAAAGCAAGGAACTACATGGCTGAATACTGGTTGGGAAAAACACAAGCATGTGCAATGATGCTTTGTGCATGAGTAGGGTCCCTAGGCCTGGTGGGCGATCAGGGCTGATCAGGGCCTTCCGGCTACCAGCCAGGGCCTTCCTTCATTCTGCGCCACACCCTGATGGTCAGTGCACGTCATAGTAAGTGATAGAACTCCCAAGGGGACACTTTGCATATTAGCCTTTTATATATATACTAGAGGCCCGGTGCACAAAAATTTGTGCACTCGGGGGGATGGGGGGGACGGGGGGTCCCTCAGCCCGGCCTGTGCCCTTTCGCAGTCTGGGACCCCTCGGGAGATAACGACCTGCTGGCTTAGGCCTGCTCCCGGGTGGCAGAGGGCAGGCCTAATCCCTAGGTGCAGCCCCTGGTCGGGCTCAGAGCAGGGCTAATTGGGGAGTTGGGGCGCCACCCCCTGTCATGCACAGAGCAGGGCGGATTGGGAGGTTGTGATGCCACCCTCAGTCACGCTCAGGGTAGGGCCGATTGGGGGGTTGGGACACTGCCCCCTGTCACACTCAAGGCAGGGTCGATGGGGAGGTTGCGGCACCACCCCCTGTCACGGACAGAGCAGGGCCAATCAGGGGGTTGGGGTGCTGCCCCCTGTCAAACACAGAGCAGGGCCCATCAGGGGGGTTGGGGCTCCGTACCCTGTCACGCACAGAGCAGGGTCGATCAGGGAGTTGGGGAGCTCCCCGCTGTCACTTACAGAGTAGGGCCAATAGGGGAGTTGGGGCACTGCCCCCTGTCACACACAGAGCAGGGAAGATCAGGGGGTTGGGGCGCCACACACTGTCACACACAGAGCCGCAGGGCAATCAGGGGGTTGGGGAGCTCCCCCGTATCAGGCACAGAGCAGGGCCGATCAGGGGGCTGGGGCGCTGCCCCCTGTCACACACACAGCAGGGCCAATCAGGGGGTTGGGGCGCCACACCCTGTCACACACAGAGCCGCAGGGTGATCAGGGGGTTTGGGCGCTGCCCCCTGTCACGCTGATCCCGGTGCCAGGAGGCCTCGCGGCTCCGCTGATCCTGGTGCTGGGAGGCATATTACCCTTTTACTATATAGGATAGAGGCCTGGTGCATGGGTGGGGGCTGGCTGGTTTGCCCTGAAGGGTGTCCTGGATCAGGGTGGGGGTCCCCACTGGGGTGCCTGGCCAACCTGGGTGAGGGGATGATGGCTGTTTGCAGCTGGTCACACCCCCTTCAGGCTGGGGGTCCCCACTGGGGTGTCTGGCCAGTCTGGGTGAGGGGCTGAGGGCTGTTTTCAGGCTGGCGGGTGACTGAAGCTCCCAACTGCTCCTTTTTTTCTTCTTTTTTTAAATTCTGGGCCAGCTTTAGCTCTGGCTCCAGCTCTGAGGCCTCTGCTGCTGAAAGCAGGTATCTGGTTTGTTTGTGTTCTATAATCGAAACACTGTATCAATTCCAGCTCTGAGGTCCCGGCTGGCTGAAAGCAGGTTTCTGGGGTTTTGTTTAGCTTCTATATTTGTAACTATGTTTCAAACTGCAAGCTCAGAGGCCGGCAAGGCAGGCGGGGAACGTTGGTTTCCTCCGTCACTGAAGCAAGCAAGCCTCATGTTAGTTTCAAGCTGCCTGGCTGCCGGCCGCCATTTTGGCTGGCAGTTAATTTGCATATTGCCCTGATTAGCCAATGGGAAGGGTAGCGGACGTACGCTAATTACCATGTATCTCTTTTATTAGATAGGACTAGAGGCCCAGTGCATGAAATTCATGCATGGGGGGGGGTGTCCCTCAGCCCGGCCTGCACCCTCTCCAATCTGGGACCCCTTGGGGGATGTCCAACTACCGGTTTAGGCCCGATCCCTAGGATCGGGCCTAAACGGGCAGTCAGACATTCCTCTTGCAATCCAGGACCACTGGCTCCTAACCACTCACCTTCCTGCCTGCCTAATGCCCCCAACTGCCCTCCCCTGCAGGCCAGTTCACCCCCAACTGCCCTCCCCTGCAGGCCTGGTCGCCCCCAACTGTGCTCCCCTGCTGGTCTGATCGCCTCCAACTGGTTGCCCCCAACTGTCCTCCCCTGCCAGCCTGGTCACCCCCAACTGCCCTCCCCTGCAGGCCAGTTCACCCCCCACTGCCCTCCCCTGCCAGCCTGGTCACCCCCAACTGCCCTCCCCTGCAGGCCTGGTCACCCCCAACTACCCTCCCCTGCAGGCCTGGTCACCCCCAACTGCCCTCCCCTGCCGGCCTGATCATCCCTAACCCCTTGCCAGCCTGATCTCGCCCCTAATTGCTCTCCCCTGCCAGCCTGATCACCCCTAACTGCCTCTGCCTTGGCCCCCACCACCATGACTTTATCCGGAAGGAAGTCAGATGTCGGAAGAAGTCTGGTCGACCTGATCTAATTAGCATAGTACCCTTTTATTAGTATAGATTATTAGTATAGATAGATTATATAGGACTAGTAGTCCTGCACACAAATCCGAGCACCAGTAGGTCACTGCTGCCCTCCTGTAGCTCTCTGCCTGCTGCCCTGCCCTCCTGTAGCTCCCCCCGCCCCCCTTCATAGCTTGTTGCCCTGCCCTCTCCTGTAGCTCTCCACCTCCTGCTTGCTTGCTGCCCTTCCCCGTCCTGTAACTCTCTGCCACCCATTTGTAGCCAGTAGGTCACAGCTGCCCTCCTGTAGCTCTCCACCCACTGCCCTGCCCTTCTGTAGCTCCCCTCCCCCCTCCCCCTCCCTCCTCATAGTTTGCTGCCCTGCCCACTCCTATAGCTCTCTGCAGCCCTCTTGTACCTCACTGGCCCACCCTCCTGCTGATCCGTGATCGTGCTTAGTCGTTATGCCTCAGGGTGTAATGGCTAATTAGCATATTTCTCTCTTATTATATAGGATAGGATTGTCTAAAAGGTGGGTGGAGCCTTTTTCAGCAGGAGGAGATGCTCTTGGCAGACAAAAATACATAACCCCTATATCTGGACTGATAGACAGCCATATGCACTATACTGCCAAACCGGTTATTAAAAAAGTGAACCGCTTTCTTACACCTTACACCAAACAGCTCTTGTCCTTAAAAACCCCTCCTCAACCCCCACCTTAGGTTCTGCCTTTGCAGTTCACCCAGATTAAGTTCTGATTGCTTGGTTTCTATGCCAGTCAGCATCAAAAGCTCTGCCTCCTAGGCAGCCATTGGCTCCTCTGAGAAATCCAGAATGGCCCCGCTTTCACCTTGGCGCCAGCCCTTCAGTCACGCTCCCAATCCATTACCGGGTGTATCTCTGGCTGCTCTGAGAAGCAGCACCACAGGTCTGTGCTGGTGGCAATTTTGAATTCTCATCCCTGACCTAACCTTCTTTTATAACTGCCTTTTTATATATATAGATAGATTACTCCAATTATAAGCCAGGCCCTGGAAAAGGTGCACCCACTAATGTTTGCTGAGCTGAGCCAACTTTCTGTCCCATCTGCTCTCTCCTTACTTTTCTCAGGGCAGATCCTCCCCTCCCCATGAACCAAAAGGTGAGAACTAATGATAAATTATTAAGTCAAGAACCAAGACCTGGAAAAATGATCAGATTTGTGGAGAGGGGTTTGTCTGCAGTGGTGATTGCTCACAGACACCACTTGAGGAGAATGTTAATACCACTTGAAGTCCAGACATCACCCCAGTAAGATTTTGCAATTTTCACAGGCTCCTGTGTTCATTCTGATGCAGGTGGATTCAGAGAAACATCTGGTTGGGAAGATTGGAGAGTGGAGTCTCTGACCACTTACCTTTGCTTCTCCTACACCTGAGGTAGACTACCAATCCCAAAATTGTGATTATGAGCACGGCACCCGCCAGTGCCACCCCAACTATCGCTCCTGGAGTCAGGGGCCTAGACCCTGATGTCCATTTGTCCCCCGAGACACCGAGGCCATCTGTGGTGGTGGTGGTGCTGGTGGTGCTGGTGGTGCTGGTGGTGCTGGTGGTGCTGGTGGGGTCCTTGGTGGTTTTCTCGGTGGCTGAGAATACATGAGAAACAAGCAAATTCTCCCTTAAGGGACTGGAAGTATCTGGGTGAAACTGTCACATCCTGTTCCCTAGTTTGGGGAACACTGGGGGTCGGGAGCAACCCTCTGAAGCTCTCACACCAGGAGAGGAGTAACAAGGTGAAATGCTGAAGGCTTATCACATACATTATTCAGTTCAAATCCTGAATCTACCACTGATCAGTGGTGTGACCTCAGAACCTCATTTCATCACCTACAAATAGAGATAACTAGATCACAGGATTTAAAAAAAAATTTATTGTGGCAAAAGACACTATAAAATTTACCATTTTAACCATATTTTAAAAAATATTTTTTATTGATTTTACAGAGAGGAAGGGAGAGGGATAGAGAGTTAGAAACATCGATCAGCTGCCTCCTGCATGCCCCCTACTGGGAATCGAGCCCACAACCAAGATACATTCCCTTGACTGAAATCAAACCTGGGACCTTTCAGTCCACAGGCCGATGCTCTATCCACTGAGCCAAACTGGTTGTGGCACCATTTTAACCATATTTAAGTGTACAGTTCAGTGGCAGTAAGTACATTCACATTGTTGTGCAGCTCTCACCATCAGCCATCTGCAGATCTTTGTCATCTTCCCAAACTGAAAATCTGTCCCCATTAAGCAACTCTCATCACCCTCATCCCAGCCCTGGTACCCACCATTCTACTGTCTGCGTCTATGAATTTGACTACTCTAGATGCCTCATATAAGTAGAATCGAAGAGTATTGTCTTCTGCAGGATTGTTTTAATAAGTGAGAAAACATCTGTAGAACACTAGTATATACTAGAAATATGTTTTTAAAGTTACATCTACACTAATAAAAGAGAAAAATGGTAATTGGCGTACAACGCTACCCTTTTCATTGGCTAATCAGGGCTATATGCAAATTAACTGCCAACTAAGATTGGCAATTAACTGCCAACAAGATGGTGGTTAATTTGCATATGTAGGCACAATGCAGGGAGGCGAAAGGGAAAGCAGGAAGAAGCCCCCTGCCACTGACAGTGATCGGAAACCCAGGGGGGAGCTAAGAGCTGGGGGGCAGGGCTAAGGCGGCCCAGCCATGATCGGAGAATCAGGTGCCTTTTCCGCCCTGGCCAGTGATAGCAGGAAGTAGGGGTGGAGCCAGCAATGGGAGCTGGGCACGGTCGAAGCTGGCAGTCCCAAGAGCTAGGGGTCCCGTGCCTGGGCCTAAAGCAAAGCCCACGATCGGGCGCCCCCCGCTGCCACTGCAGGTCCCCGCTGCCTGGGCCGGACGCCTAGGCCAGAGGCATTAGGCCTGGGCAGGGGCGGAGCCTGCAACCGCGGGGAGCTGGGGGTCCCCTGCCCAGGCCTGACACCTCGGCCGGAGGCCTCAGGCCTGGTCAAGGGGCCGATCCGGTGATTGGTGATCGGAGAGTGATGAGGGTCAACTCCTCTGGCCGAGGCATCAGGCCTGGGTGGGGGGCGGAGCCGGGGATTGGGGGGATATGATGGTCCCCTTGCCTAGGCCTGAAGCCTGGGTCAGAGGCATCAGGCTTGGGCGGGGGGTGGAGCAAGCGATCAGAGGGAGATGGGGGTCCCCTGCCCAGGCATGATTCCTGGGCCAGAGGCCTCAGGCCTGGGCGGGGGCCAGAGCCAGTGATCGGGGGGAGATGGGGGTCCCCTGTCCAAGCCTGACACCTCTGGCGGAGGCGTCAGGCCTGGGTAAGGGGCTGATCCTGCGATTGGAGGGTGATGGGGGTCAACGCCTGAGGGCTCCCAGTATGTGGGAGGGGGCAGGCTGGGCTGAGGGACACTCCCCCCGCCCCACGCCCAGTGCACGAATTTCGTGCACCGGGCCCCTAGTTAATATATATTGAACTTTAGTTTCTACAAACAGATTGTACCTTAGTAGATGTTTGATGTACCATTAAAAAACTGATATAGTACTAAGCCACAGAAAAAATCTAACTCTAATAAAATCTTTAGGTTAGCATGGATCAAACTCTCTGGCTACTCTTGCTATAAATTAATACAGGAGATACAGAGAAGGTGCAGGAAGAATAAAACCAAGTCTGTTTGTGTAATTCAGGTTGTGAGCCACTTTATAAATTATCTAAAACCAGCTCTGTGGCCAAGACAGGGCAGTGGATTTACCCAGGCTGGGAGGAGTGATTCATCACTGATGTAGTTAGAGCTGCCAGCACAAGTGATTATAAAAAGTAAATTGAGCCCAGCTGGGTGTGACTGGGTGGTTAGCATCAACCCAGGAACCAAGAGGTCACCAGTTCAGTTCCCGGTCCAGGCATATGCCCGGGTTGCGGGCTCAATCCCAGTGTGGGGCATGCAGGAGGCAGCCAATCAATGATTCTCTCTCATCATTGATGTTTCTATCCCTCTCTCCCTTCCTCTCTGAAATCAATAAAAATATCTACACTATCTACACTAATAAAAGAGAAACATGGTAATTGGCGTACGACCGCTACCCTTTTCATTGGCTAATCAGCGAGATATGCAAATTAACTGTCAGCCAAGATGGCGGCCGGCAGCCAGGCAGCTTGAAACTAACATGAGGCTTGCTTGCCTCAGTGACGGAGGATCGTTGGAGGAAACCAATGTTCCCCGCCTGCAGCTGCAGGCCTCTGAGCGGGCAGTTTAAGAAACATTGTAACAAATACCGCTGGACTTCAGCCAGCAGATTCTCAACATTGTAAGCAAAGGCCAGAAACCTACTTTCAGCCACAGAGGCCTAAGAGCTGGAGCCAAGCCTCAAGGTAAAGCTGGCCCAGAATAAAAAAGAAAAAAAGAAAAAAAGGAGCAGTTGGGAACTTCAGTCACTCCCAGCCTGAAAACAGCCCTCAACCCCTCACCCAGACTGGCCAGGCACCCCAGTGGGGACCCCCACCCTGATCCAGGACACCCTTCAGGGCAAACCAGCCGGCCCCACCCATGCACCAGGCCTCTACCCTATATAGTAAAAGGGTAATATGCCTCCCGGCACTGGGATCAGCGTGACAGGGGGCAGTGCCCAAACCCCCTGATCGCCCTGCGGCTCTGTGTGTGACAGGGGGCGGGGCCCCAACCCCCTGAGCAGCCCTGCTCTGTGCCTGATAGGGGGGAGCTCCCCAACCTCCCCCCCCCCCACAGGCCCTGCTCTGTGTGCGATGGGGTAGAGCCATAACCTCCCCATCGGCCCTGCCCTGAGTGTGAGAGTGGCGGCGCCCCAACCCCCTGATTGGCCCTGCTCTGTGGGTGATAGAGGGCGGTGCCCCAACCCCCTGATGGGCCCTGCTCTGTGAGTGACAGGGGGTGGCGCCGCAACCTCCCCATCGACCCTGCCTTGAGTGTGACAGGGGACGGTGCCCCAACCCCCCAATTGGCCCTACCCTGAGCGTGACTGAGGGTGGCATCACAACCTCCCAATCTGCCCTGCTCTGTGCATGATGGGGCAGCGCCCCAACTCCCCAATCGGCCCTGCTCTGAGCCCGACCAGGGGCTGCACCTAGAGATTGGGCCTGCCCTCTGCCACCCGGGAGCAGGCCTAAGCCAGCAGGTCGTTATCTCCCAAGGGGTCCCAGACTGCGAGAGGGCACAGGCCGGGCTGAGGGACCCCCCATCCCTCCTGAGTGCACAAATTTTTGTGCACTGGGCCTCTAGTATGTATATTAAAAAAAAGTAAATCGGCTTACCATGCACCCCTTTATGCTGGGGCCTGGGAGAGAGCCCCTCCCCCACTAACCTGGAGTCAGATTAGCCACACCTTCCCACCTTCAAGTTCCCCCGTCCCAGTGAGTACTATAGGAAGATCTATTAATAAAGCATGCCCCATAGTAGGTTAAAATAGGTCAAGACAACAAGATGACCAAGTCAGTAGGTGATCAAGATGATCAAGACCGAGTGGCTAATGGTTAAGAGGGGAGGCTCTGGGGTCAAACTGGGTTCAAATTCCACCTGCACCATGAAGGTGACTTTGTGTAGGTGTAAGGCTCAGTTTCCCCATCTGGAACAGGAAGGTGATAGTGGTTCCTACTATGATTGCGGGGTCGTGGTGCAGGGTAACTAGGGCGATGCATGCTGAAGTGTTCAGTTGGGACAAGGGCACATAGCCGGGAGCTGCCTGGTTGCTGATGCAGAGGGGCCTCTGACAGAGAGAGAAGGGAACAACACAGGCCTTGTGTGGTGGGAGTGAGGACTTAGGGGGGTTGCTGTGAGAAACAAAAAGGGTTCAGAGGATGAAGATGGGAAGAAGAGATAGGGAAGGAGAGAAAAGAGATGGAACTGGGGAGGGAGCATTGAGGGCCACGTTCTGGGGAGCAGAGTGAGAAAAGAAAGCAGGGAGATTGGGACAACAGATGCTGGGGTGTTACCAGGGGTGGAGGGAGGGAGGGAATTCCTTGGGCCCCTATTGGGTCCCTCCTGTGTGTGCCAGGCTGAGCTCATGGCTGTGGGGGGACACAGACGTGGGGCTAGCTGGGGCTCCACCTGCAGACACAGGACAAAGGAAAGGCAGGCCACACCCTGTAAAAGTCAAGTCCGCCTGGAGGACATGGGGTGAAGGCAGGAGGCAGGGCTGGAGCCCCAACTTGGAGCAAGAAGGAGGATAACCGGGGAGCCTGGAAGGTCTGAAGCCTGGGGATGGGGTGGGCTGGATCTATGGGGCAGTGAGGGAGGGGCAAGGAAGGCAGCCCACGTTTGGGGAGATCACGGTGAAAAAGGTAAAGCTGGCAGAGGCTGGGAAGCAGTCAGGGGCAGGGAGAGGCGTTTGAGAGAAAGGTCAGGAAGAGAGGCGCCTGGACCGGTCCTGGGGGACGAGGGCACCAGTGGCCGGGGCAGTGGGACTTACCTCTGGTGATGATGAGTTTGGTCCCTGGGATGGACTGCCACACCGTCTCGCCTTCGTTCCGTGTGGTCAACTGGACTCGGCAGAAGTAGCTACGTCCATCCTCTCTCCGCAGGTTGGAGATTCGGAGGGAGCCGTTCCTCTGGCCCTTTGTCCAGTTCAGGGAGAGGCGGTTTTTAAAATCCTTATGGATGAACGGTGAGGTTGTGGTGAACAGCGGGGTTGTGCTGTAGATGAACTCTCCATGGAATTGTTTCCATCTCCAGGATATACGCACGTTGGGATCGCTGGCTAACTCCCAGGGGTAACAGAAGGAGAAGGGGATGTCGATGGAGCCACCCTCAGGGGCTGAGAGGTTCTCTGGTTGGTGGACTTCATAATCAAGGTTTGAAATGCATTTTGCTGAGCCACCTGGAGGAGGGGGGGAGAGGGAGGGACTTTGAAGCCACTTGGAGGGACCGAGAAGATAACCCCGGACCATCTGGCACCCTCACCTACGGGCGGAAGTGTGGCAGAGAATAGGACTGGCCCTCTGGCTGGGCGTCCCCCCTCCAGGGCGGTAGAAAGGAGGGTGAGGGATGTGGGGGACCCAGCACTGTGGGACCAGCCCAGCCCGCTGCTGTTGCAGGTGGGAAGCCTGGCTGGCCACAGCCCCTCCCTGGGGCTCCCCTGGGGCCCTGGTCAGAGCCAGGGTGTCCTGGCCACTCACCAGCCTGCAGAGCTGCTGGCGGCAGCAGGGGCAGCAGCAGGAGCAGCAGCAGGGGCAGACCCATCGCCTCGCTCTCCTTGGAGGATGAGAAAACAAGCAGAGCCTCTAGGCCAGAGGGGAGGCTCTGTGGAGGGGCTGCCTCAGGCTAATCTGACCACCGGAGAGGCAGGACCAGGCTCCTTCCGAGGACTGGGAGGTGGGAGCCCTCCCCAAACATGCCTGCCCAGGATGGGCAGCACTTCCGTTTACAATCTGGCTTCTTCTTTTCTGATATTGCCAAAGAGCTTCCCCTGTGGTCAGTGACCAAGAGCCATGATATCGGCCCCCCAGTCCCCACCTTCATGCTGATGGGTGTGGTCCTGACCTGGGCTGCCTGGGGCCTCTCCCCTCCCACCTCAACCCCCTGTCTCTGCCAGGGGCTTTCCCATCTCCTTAGGAGTCAGTCCCGTCTCTGTCTCTCACTCGCTCTCCTTTTCTCTGCTTCTCTGAGTGCCTCTCGGCCTCTGTTTCTCTCATTGCAGGGGAAGGGGCAGCAGCAGGACCAGCTCAGGCTCTTTCAAGAGAGGAAAGGCAGCCAGGAGTCTGTCCAGCTATAGCCCCTGGAAAAGGAGGCAGGAGGTGCTGGTGGAGATGTCCCCAGCCCCAGCCCCAGCCCAGGTGCATCCAGCTGGCTCTTGGCCCCTCGCCCTCCCCTGTAGTTCACAGGCAGAAACAAGACCCACAGGCCCCATTCTGTTCCCTCTGCATCTCACACCCGCGCTGGGATTAAGAGGTGAGTGTGGTCTGACCCTTCCATCTCCCCAGAGAGTGGCTTTCTGGAGGCCATGCCTTTACCCACAGAATTCAAGTGTGGATCTGCAGGGCCCTCTGTTCTCACCCTTCACTTATGAGACAACCAAGGCTCGGAGAGGGTGTGCCCAAGTCCGTGACTCTCAAGTGATGGGTCCAGGACTGGAACTCCGCTCTTGGTGAATCCACAGAGCCTTCTGGATGCTTCCACCTGGCTGCACCACAGAGTCTCCAGGCCTCAGCACCAGAGTGCAGAGCTCTGAGGGCTGAGCCGCAGGAGGCTGTATTTTTATAATGCTCCTTAGATGGTCCCATCCACCGCGGTGGGAGCCCTGGCTAATCCAGAGTCTTCCCTGGACAGAGGGGCTTAAGGCTCAGAGCAGTAATGGGTCACCCCAGTGACAGTCCCTGGGACCATACCTACTGGAGGGCACTGTCCGCCTGTGACGTGGTGAACGGGGTGAGAGGTTGGGAACTGGGACCTTTGGTGACTCACAGGAGGCTCTGCCCATTGCCTCCCCGAATGAGGTTCCCATCAGCTTACTGAGTAGACTGTGGGAGTGGGTGGGCATGATTTTATCAGAGGAAGTGGCCTTCGCCTTTTGGAGATGGAAGCAGCAGACCAACTTCCTTTTCAATCCGTTTCTTCCCCAATCCTAACAGGTTTCTTCTCCATTTCTCCCACAGCCAGCCAGGCAGCCCCCGCCGCTCTCTGTGTCTGCTTTTCACACCCTTCCTGCTAGGCCTGAGAAGAGAAGTTTCAAATTTTTATGGAAGTCTCTTATCTGACTCAGCCACAAAACACCCATTGCCTCATTTCAGCTTTACAACATTCTGTGGTGGGTGTATTGTAATCTCCATTTTACAGTTGAGAAGGGAAGTTGAGGCACAGAGCTTAATGCCATTCAGTCCTCTGGGCTGTGAAAGACGCTTGGGTGGCCTGGCCAGCGTGGCTCAGTGGTTGAGCGTTGACCTATGAACCAGGAGGTTTCGGTTTGATTCCCAGTCAGGGCACATGCCTAGGTTGCTGGCTCAATCCCCAGTGTGGGGCGTGCAGGAGGCAGCCGATCAATGATTCTCTCTCATCACTGATGTTTCTATCTCTCTCTCCCTCTCCTTTTCTCTCTGAATTCAATAAAAATATATTTAAAAAAAAATAAAATCTCAATTTAAAAATTGAGCTAAATATTTGAATAGATATTTTGTCAAAGCAGATATATGGGTAACTAATACGCATGAGAAGATGTGTAATATCATTAGTCGTTGGGGAAATACCACAATGAGGTGTCATTAAACATCTATTAAATGACTAAAATTAAAAGACCGACCAGACTGCCTGTCAGCAAGGATGTGGAGCACCTGGAGCTCTCAGACACCACAGGGGGGAATGTGAAATGGCACAAGCACTTTGGCTGTGACCTAGTCACACCGCTCACAGGTATCGCAGTGCTGACCAGCAACGCCAGCAGCGCCTGGGAGCTTGTAAGACATGCTAATTCTCAGGTCCCACCTTGACCGCTGAAGTTGAGGACCACTGCTCTCGGAGTTTGATCGAGGGCCTGCCTTGTGTGTCCCTTTAATTTTCACAGCAGTTCTGTGAGATGCAGGATTTTATGCTCACCTTACAGAGAAAGAAACACAGACTCCAAGAGTTACCTCACTCCAATTTCCTCTATTCCTCTGGAGTTTGAACCACCCTCAGGTCTCTGTGCCTCATGAGCTAGATGCTTAACCGAATGATTGCTCCCAGACCCCTCACAGTCTAACCTCCCTCCCTCTCCTCTCCTCCCACAGCCTTTTGCAGAGAAGGTTGTTCATCTGTGCCTCATTCAGCTGCTACTCATCAAGGTCTGGGGAAGCAAAGGAGAGGGATGCGGTCCCTGAGGTGGGGCAGGCCGCGGGAGCCATGGCAGTGACAAGCCTTCTCTGAAGGACAGGAAAGGAGGAGAGACTAGGGGCAAAGTCTTGGTCCCTGGCCTTCCTCATAGACTGTGTGCCTCTGCCGACATCCCCCTCTTGACTTCATCCTGATTTCCATCAGGGCAGGGGACGCGGAGAGGGTTCGTCCTGGCCTTGGATGCGCGAAAGCCTGCAGTGAGCCCTCCAGGAATTAGTGCCCAGCTGGGAAGGGAAGACGCGCCATGTGAAACAAGTAGAGGGAGGCCCAGACCCCACCAACTTAGAGCTGAAACAGGCAAGGATGACCCTCCCACTTTCTGGGTGCTGGGAGCTTTGCAATTGTATATATTAAAGATGTTTTCTTATTCGCTATATCCTATTTTTTAATGTTTCTTTTATATTTTTAAATTTATTTTTGAAAGTATTACAGATGTCCCCTTTTATTTTGTCCCCCCCCCCCATTAGCCCCCTCCTCCCCACACCGTCCTTAGCCTTTGCCACACTATTGTCTGTGTCTATGGTCTCTGCATATATGCATATAAATTTCCTGGTTAATCTCTCCTCCCCAACCCCACCCCCATTTTCCCTCTGAAATTCATCAGTCTGTTCATGGTTCTATGTCTCTGGACTAGTTTCTTCATCAGTTTATTTTATTCATTAGATTCCACATAGGAGTGAGATCATGTGATACTTATCTTTCTCCTACCAGCAATACATTAAAAAGATCATACCCCATGACCTTTATTTATCCCGGGGATGCAAGGCTGGTACAATATTCACAAGTCAACAAATGTGATACATCACATAAACAAATTGGAAGACAAAAATCACATGATCATATTAATTGATGTAGAAAAACATTCGACAAAATCCAACACCCTTTTTTGAGAAAAACTCTCAGCAAAGTGGGAATAGAGGGATCATACCTCAACATAATAAAGGCCACATATGACAAACCTACAGCCAACATCATACTCAATGGGCAAAAACTAAAACCAGTTCCCCTGAGAACAAAAATGTTGGCTGTGTTCTTGTGGTTTTCTTTGTTGTTTTTTAAAAATATGTTTGTATTGATTTCAGAGAGGAAGGGAGAGGGAGAGAGAGATAGAAACATCAATGATAAGAGAGAATCATTGTTGGGCTGCCTCCTGCACGCCCCACACTGGGATTGAGCCTGCAACCCGGGCATGTGCCCTGACCAGGAATCGAACTGTGACCTCGGTTCAAAGGTCGATGCTCAACCAGCCGGGCTATTTGCTATACCCTTGATGCTCTGACATCCAGGGCCTCACTGACCCAGAAGAGGTTGCTCCTCCCAGGGCCACCTAACTCTCAGACATAGCAATGGACTTGCCCAGGAGCATGCCTTTCATATGCAAGCCTACCAGTCCAGAGCTCAGACTTCCATCCTCCTCCTCTATCTGGCTCTTGGGCTCCTGGAGGCTAATATTCGTCTGCTTTAGTCACCCATGGCCAACCAGATACCAGGCAACGCGGGACAGCCCTAATCCCCAGAGCCTGCAGAAAGTATTCAAACTAGCCACTCCTAACCCTGAGCACCCTGCCTCGTCTTCCCTTTCTCACGGAAACGACGACGAAGCCTGCTGTCCATGTTTCCCCTTAGCTCCCTCTGCCTCCTGACCGACCCTGGTGCCCAGGCCGTGCCTCTTGTTTTTAGGGATCTGTGAGTAGAAACTTCTTTCCTTGTGACAGTTTTATTTTATGTCTGTGAGTCTTACCATAACATGATTAAAACAAATCTAGGGTATATTTTTGAAAGATCAGACAGAGGCCGAAAACCAGGACGACAGGCTTTATTAGAGGAGAAGGACCTGCTGGGCTGTCTCGTCAGGGGAGGACAGCAGCACGCGCAGAGGTGAGCATGCCTTTTGAGGGGCGGGATGGGAAGGAGTGGGGACTTAGTGTACTCGGCACACGCTGATTGGTGGCTTAATGTATGGTCCTTATAGGAACAAGGGCTTCGAGTATTTGGCAGGTGTGGATTGGTGGTCCAATGTATAGTCCATATAAGGTACATGGTTAGTCGCTCAGGTATTTCTGGGCTGCAGGTTACGTCATACTCCACCCACCTGTTGCGGGAAGGGAGGATCTATCAATTTTCAAATAACACAACTCTCCCAGCAGCCTCAGGAGCTAGGCAGGGTCTAGACCAGTGGTTCTCAACCTTCTGGCCCTTCAAATACAGTTCCTCATGTTTTCGTTGCTACTTCATAACTGTAATGTTGCTACTGTTATGAATCATAATGTAAATATCTGATATGCAGGGTGGTCTTAGGCGACCCCTGTGAAAGGATCGTTCGACCGCCAAAGGGGTCGCGACCCACAGGTTGAGAACCGCTGGTCTAGACGTTAATGGTCCTCGTTTACACAGGAGGAACCAGAGGTCCTGAGTGAAATTATGAATCTCAACTGAGGCCACATGGCCAGTAATTGTCTGCTGTGGTGCTGGGGCTGAGCCCAGAGTCCACGTTCTCCACTGCTTTCCCACCAGTGACAAGAGTCATCTGGGCCATAAAACAACCAAGGGTTCCTTTTTCTGTGTTGTATTCCTGCTGCACAGAGAAGATGTTTGAGGGCTGCCTGGGGTGCGGCTCATGGAG